TTTTTAACTTATTTTTCTGTGAATATGTTAGAAGCATTTGGTATTTAAAATCAGGGCTAACTTTATCCTGTTAGAAGTAAAGAGGAAGTTATAACTAGATATAAGTTAGATAACTATTTATTAACATTACATCATTTGAGCAAAACACTTCATCAAGAAGACATCTCCGTGGGAAGAAATAAACACTTTTCCTCACACTAGTGTATTACCAGAGCCCTAAGCCAAGCTATCAAAGAACTAAGTCAGAGGTTTTTTAAAGGCAGACATTTCAGGACTATGACTTGATCCCATTTTTCCTTAGAATCAAAACTATTATAGACTAGTGCCTATAATGTGCCTATAATCCTAGCTAATCAGGAGGCTGAGATATGAGGATTCAGGTTCCAAGCTAGACACTCTTACCTCCAATTAACTAACAAAAAGCCAGAAGTAGAGTGTTAGCCTTGATCAACTGATGACTTTAAAGGCTCCATTTATCCTTTCTCCTTGCTTCTCATCTATGCCTCAATGTCCCCCCCCAGACACAGTTAAGATGGACACGCACATGTGTCCTTTTGTGCCACTTACTGTCACTGTAATCCAGCAATACAGGGAAAATGTCTGTGACAGTTTTGCAAAGTTGGAACTCTTCCCCGAGCTCAGCCCAGAGCCTGGCACACATAAGGAATCAATCGAGTTGCTTGTATTGAATGCATTCATGCGTGGGTATTCCCTCTCAGCCTGGCCATTTCCTTCTGGAAGCCATGCATCTGGAGCTCACCAAGTTCAAGACAAGCAGGCTGACTAGGAAAGTCCCGTGTTTGACAAAGGCAGGGTACAGACACACAAGCAGGCAACAGGACAGCCTTAAAGCATTGATAATAGACGTCAGGCTTGGTCAAGTATGAGAGAATGGATTCAGCAGAAGGGCATGTGTTTCAGAGGAGACCGAAGTCACAGAAGTGTCAAGAGGGGAAGGAGGACCAGAAGGAAAACATGATAGAAACACTTAAGAGTCAGCAAACCCAGAGGAGCTGAAGGACCAGGATTGTAGCACATTGCTTCCACTCCCCTCTGTCTGCCAAAAGCCAGACCTGAAGGGACTGGCCCAGCCTGCAGGTGTGACTGTGCATGACCTGACTGAGGTGTATGGTTTACTGAAGAAGCAGCAACTTCTTGTCCAAAGGATCCCGAATTTTACAACTGGTGGCAGAAAGAATAACTATTTCAGAGCTGGGAAAGCTATAAACTTCCTGGACTTGGGTTTGTTTGCTCCAATTAAAATGTCTGTCCTAGGAAAGGCTCTGTGATTGGAGGTCACAAAGATCTATACACAGGGATTTCAGTCAGGGGCACAACTGACCAATCACAAAGCTCCTCTCCTAGGGAGGCACAGACAGGAACTCACAATTCCTGCACCAGCCTTCCGCCCTCCTCATCTATACACTTCAATCCTTTCTGGAGGTTTGTTTTACTCTGCTAATGTAAGGCTCAATCAACCAAAGCACTGAACTAAACCCCACCCAAAGATGTCTGGGGTGCAGGCAGAGGCTACCCACAGTCATGTCCTCCCCATGACTCTGAGAAGGTCCAGGGCTGCCTGAGGACCTGTAGACCAAAGGAGTTGGGGAGGACAAAATGAGGGTGAGCCCAAAAGGACCCCACTTCTTCCCAAAGGCTCCTAGCTCAGCTTTCCAGGAGGCACCTGGATGAGGCTCACCTGATCTCTACCATGACAAGTGAAGGCATTTATCAGTCAGATGGAGAGTACTTTGGGCATTCTCAGGCTCTACAGTCCTCACAAAGCCTCCATTACTGTAAGTATGCAACCTCCTAGTGCTTCCTGCACTGAGACCTATATACTGGGATACCCAGCTTTCTGCACAAATAGGGTAAAGAAAACAAGGCAGTTTCCCATGTGCTAAACAAGAATGGCATTAGTACACATGTGTGTACACACGCACACACTCACACGTGCTCTTAGACAGCCAAAGTAGAACAAAGGGAAGTGAAAGGCTCTGTGAATCTCTGCTGAGTGTGGACGTCCACCCACATAGTGTCCACCCCACGAGAAATCATACCCTGAAACTGGTAACCAGGACGCTCAGCCTGTAACTTCTCTATTTAATCTCCTGAGACAATCGCTATCCTGAGCTGGAATCCACAGAAACAAATGGGGCCCAGATGGTGGTACAGAGGATCTCCAGGAGAGACCTGCAGGGCCCACCCACTTCTGACCTGAATAACCTGTGACCTCATTGTCTCATTGCTCTGCTACAGCGACCATAACACAAGTCTATGCGACTCAAAGGAGCATTCTCTCCTTATAATTCTTACTCAAAAAGCAAATTTTATAGAAACACGTGTCTGTTTTATTCTCTCTGTGTGTCTGTCTGTCTGTCTCTCTCTCCCTTTCTCCTCCCCTCCCTTTTCTCCCTTTCTCCCTCAGATATCACCCCCAAATAAGTAACCTTCTGGAACAGAACTTGAACTTACATATAACTAAATTTTACCTTCCTCTAATGCATGCATGCATGCATGCGTGCGTGCGTGCGTGCGTGCGTGCGTGCGTGCGTGCGTGCGTGTGTGTGTGTGTGTGTGTGTGTGTCCTGGGACTTGAACTCAGGGTCTGAGCTCTGTCCCTTAGCCTTTTTGCTCAAGACTAGTGTTTTACTACTTGAGCTACAGCTCCCCTTCTGGCTTTTTGATGGTTAATTGGAGATAAGGATCTCATGAAGTTTCCTGTCCAGGCTGGCTTTGAACTGCAATCTTCAGATCCTTTCCTTCTGAGTAGCTAGGATTACAGGCATGAGCTCCTGGTCTCTGAGGCTTTTACTTGCAATCTATACTTCTGTAGACTGCTACTTAACATGCCATTTCTCTCATTGAACTAAAAAGCTCCAGTTCATGGACCAATACACAAATGAAGGTTTTCGGCAAAGGAGCTTGGATAACATGAAAAAAGCAAGGGAGATGTCTTCCTGGTAATATTAGAATGAATTGAAGAAGAGAATCAATAACTATAAGGTGGGAGAGTATCACCTCTTTGAGGTACTAGAGCAATTTTTTCTCCAACAGAAGGAGGGAAACCACCTCATATATGCGTCAAAATCAGTAACTAATGGCACACGCAAGTTTCAAACATGAATCACTGGTTTCCGTGGTGATGCAAATATTGCCTAACAACTCACTGGTCAGTAAGTAACCAAGAAGACAGCAAGGAGGAAATTCAAGAATGGAACGAGGTCTCTATTTTCAGGAATATTTGCAAGAGCCTATATGAACCTACAGAATACTACAAGATAGCCCAGCTTCCACTGCACAGAGGCAAGATTTACCAGCCTCTCCTGCTCTGTGTGTGTCCAGCTCTTTGTCACACACAAACACACACAAAGCTAGAACCAGGAACAGCTGCAAAGGAAGTGATGACATTTTATTTACAAACACAGGGTTACAATTAGAAACACAAGCCTCTAATCTCTCTCTGCTACTTCCCGCTGGAGACCTGATAGCACATTTAGATGCTCTGTCCCTTTCAAACTAAACAAAACAATTTTCAGGCTAGGGCCTGGGCACATGGCTCAAGTGGTATAGCACCTGCCTATCAAGTGTCAAGCCCTAGGTTCAAATCCCAGTAATGCCTTGAGATAATTTCTCAGTAAAAAACAGGATTTTACAAAAAATAACTATGATATTCCTTAGAAGCATGTTTTCTCTTCGTCTGAATAGTTTGGTTTTTGTATTATATTATATTATATTAACTTGTGAGAAACAAAAAATCAATAAACAGGGGCTGGGAAGGTGGCTCAGTGGTAGAGCATTTGCCTTGCATGCATGAGGCCCTCGGTTCGATTCCTCAGCACCATATAAGCAGAAAAAGCCAGAAGTGGGGGCTGAGACTCAAGTGATAGAATGCTGGTCTACAGCTGAAGAACTGGGGGACAGCATCCAGGACCAGAGTTCAGGCCCCACAACCGAAAAAAAAAATCAATAAGCAAACATAAATTTGCTTGGCTCAGTGTGCCTGGTACCTATTAATGCTAGATTCCCCTTTGCCCATCAGAGATCGTTTGGGTACTAAGTTTCCTTGCTTCTAGGTCCATTTATAGTCTTCACAAATCACTCCAAATTCAAGCTTTCTAAAGAGTGTGAAGATCACTCACGAAGAAAGTTGGTTTCCAACAGTCATAAGCAAGTGACTATAAAGTGCCACATGTGACAAGATTTCCTGTCGCTCTTCTAAGCATTTAAAAAAATAATAACACAGGGGAAACTGAGTGCTGCTACCTCACTCTTGTAATCCTAGTTACATCACATTTCAAAGCCAACCCAGGCAGTAAAGTCAATGAGAGTGTTATCTCCAATAAACTACAAAAAAAAAAAAACAGAAAGGGAGCTGCAGCTCAATTTGTAGAGCATTAGCATTGAGCCAAAGAAACTCAAAGACAGCACCTAGGCCAAGACCAGGGGAAACAAATTAAGGAGAAAATAAAAATCTGAGGCAAGAGAACAAACTTAAGTCATCCAATATAAAGTAAATTCTCTAACCCAGCAATATTTAATTGTTAAAAAGGAAATATGATTTGCTAGCAGGATTCAGAAACATACTTAGTCTTTACTCTTGAATAGATTAACTACTGTCTTATAAGTAGTAGAAGGGGTTTTTTTGCTGTTTTTGTTTTGATTTTATTTTTCTTGGGGTCAGGTCATGGGGCCTGAACTTTCCCTCAGCTCTTCAGCTCAAGGCTAGCGCTCTACCACTTGAGCCACAGCCCCACTTCCCGCTTTTTTTCGTTTTACTTATGTGGTGCTAAGGAATCAAATCCAGGGCCTCATGCATGACAGGCAAGCGCTCTACCACTGAGCCACCTTCCCAGCCCTGATTTTTTTTATAGACCCTATTTTCATGGATGGTAAAGACATAAAAAATGCATGCTAGGCCCTACACAGAAGAAACCCCTTACTCTGTGTACTGTCCTTCAGTGTAAGTATCCCTGATTAAAACAATGTGACTGGCCTACCTTTTCTGTAATATAGAAATTTGAACGGTCAGCATGTTGCAGTGCAAAGCATTCATGGTTGGCAAGAGATGACCTACAAAACATAGCATAAGTGATCAGAGAAACAAAAGTGCTCCTCTTCATTTTTATTTGTTCTCCAGGGGTGAGGTGAATTACATTCACTATGATTAGAATGGAGTCAGTCTCAAATAGGCACAATGGGGTCTCTAAAGAAAATGGCTTTAACTCACCTAAGACCCTAAGACCAACAGTCCTTTCCTCTCTGAAGTTCCTAGACCAAGGCTACTGCTCACCTCTAAGCATTTCATCAAGGCTTGGGGGTGGACGGACTTAAATTGTGAGTGGCAACATTCTTCATTTTGAAGAATTGAGGCAAAGAAATGATAGCAAGGTAAATGGCAGCAATTTAAACGTGTGAGAATTAGCACATTGCCAATTGTCACTGAATTCTTTAACTCACAATCAGTTCACCCCACACAGATTGGAACACACTAAGTATGGCAAGTCTTCTCTAACTTCCCCTAATATTCTATTCACAGTTCTGCTTTACAAGTCAAGAAATACCATGCGACTTTCCAATGTGCCCTTCCTCAGGATGGTTAGAACAACCCAGAGGGAGGAAAGGCGTGTCAGTCAGTGGGAAAATTCCACAAAACACACAATTACCCACGGACTTGTCTGTTAATTCTTCCACAGGGGCCTGTGGGATGCTTTCAGTGTATGTCAGAAGGAGTGTGTATTTAACTCTTAGGAACATTTAGTCTAAAGGTTCCCTGCTTGGAAGGATGAAAGGAACATGAGTGTTCAAAAGAAATAATACCAACCCTCTGTACATATGGAGCCAGCCATTCCATGCTTTCTATTCTTCAAGGAGTAGGGGAAAGATTTTGGTGGAGAAAGAAGGGTAACTCTCACAAGGTAATTCTTTGTGACTAGGTAGGTCACATGAACAGTTACGAATAAGATTTATGGTTATCCTTTATTTACAGGATTATGGATAATATTCTATCCCTCCAGCGGAAATACTCCTATGTTCCTGCCAAGGTATGGACTGAATGCTTCAGAAGAATCTTTGCAACACTTACCCATCACACACATCCTTGATTATTGCAGACATGTTTTTTTCTGCAAAATAACAAAAAAGGAAATATTGTGGTTTCATTCCATTATTTTAACTGAAAAAAATAAAGCCACGTAAAGTTAAAAAAAAAAAAAAAAAAACCTCTTGGCAAGGAGAATTTACATTTAGTATTCTTAGTTCTAAGTGAACTCTTACATTGTCAGGGTTTAAAACCTGCTTTCCAGTCACTACCTGCTCTCAAGTCACTACCTAATCTATTAATGATTTATTACCCTTGTGACTGGCTCTTTTCTTATATTTAGGGTTTTTTTTTTTGTCCATTGTGGGGCTTGAACTCTAGGCCTGGGCGCTGTCCCTGAGCTCTTCAACTCAAGGTGAGTGCTCTACCACTTGAGCCACAGGGCCACTTCCAGTTTTCAGGTGGTTAATTGGAGATAAGAGTCTCAAGGGCGGGGCTGGGAAGGTGGCTCAGTGGTGGAGCACTTGCCTTGCATGCTCAAGGCCCTGGGTTCGATTCCTCAGCACCACATAAGAAAAAAGCCCGAAGTGTTTCTGTGGCGCAAGTGGTAGAGTGCTAGCCTTGAGCTGAAGAGCTGAGGGACAGCGCCCAGGCTCAGAGTTCAGGCTCCACAACCGGACCCCCCCCCCAAAAAAAGGAATCTCAAGGGCTTTGCTGCCTAGGCTGGCTATGAACCATGATCTTCACAGCTCAGCCTCCTGAGTTACTAGGATTACAGGCATGAGCCATCGGCACCTGGCTATACTTAACATTATTAAGTGTACAAAGTATATAGCATATTTAAATTTTGCCTTGTTAAAGTTGAGACACAAATACACTTTATTCAAAGATTTACCATGCAAGGAGAAACCTGCAAGTTCAAGGAATAACCAGAATAAAGCAAGCAGCCAACTGGCTTTATAAAGACAAGGTTGGATTCATGAGATTCTTTGAAGAATGTGGCAAATGAGACATGAGATGTTGCAAAATTGTTCCTGCAGAGTACACAGGATTCTTCTCCCAAGTGTGGCCTCATTAAACGTCAATCTCACAGCATGTTTGGGCTAACACACGGGAGGAATGTGAACAGGACTCCATGTGCCACCGTGTCAACTGGCGCTGACCACAGCTGTGCTCCGGTCCTCACAGCCACACTTGTGCTCGGCCTGTCGCCCAGAGTGAAGGAACACAGTGAGGAAACATTCGCTTGCCCAGAGATCTCCAAACTCTTTCTGTTTGGGATGTGGACAGACCCAGTCTCCAAGATCAGAGAGGACTGTGTCCACCAAGAGAACAAATCACAGATGAGAAATGGATGGTGAAGACAGGAAGAGAAAACCAAGAAATATAATTCATGATCCAGGATTTTCAGATATGCCCATCAAGAAAATCATATTTACATATATACTATATATATATATATATGCATAATCTTATGTATACATATATATGTGTGTGCATGTGTATATATGTATGAATGTATCAATGTAGAAGCATGGTCTATGCCTGCCTCTCTGACAGTAGGGTTAGTTCACTTCCTAGTTCTGTCAACTTGTCTGCATTGTCATCCAGCACTTCCTTAGTTTGCCCCACTAGCAGTATCTGTCATGCAGACTTAACTTCTGCATCGCTCAGGGATGTTGGGAACTTAAATGGCTACAAATTAAATAGGAATTAATTTGTCAAAGTGAAACATCCCAGAAAGGGAGAGGCCTCCTTTTTCCTCTCCTGTTACTCAAAGAGCTTTTTATCCCCAGAATATACTTGTGTGGACACAATGTCACTCCATCTGCTCTACTGGGGAATTCTGAGCACTGTCCATAGAGTCTTCCCCCAGGACTCCTGTAGCTCCTGTGCAATTCCTCACCTCATTGTGCAGCAGGTGACCTACACTTCGCTCCCTCAACATGATCAAGACAGTGTCTGCCTCTGCCCAGAACTCTGCTAAACACACTTCCTGAGAGAAGAGAAAACAAGAATATCTGTGTTTTCACATTTTTAATTTATTTAAGTATTTTTGTCTGTGTTTATTTTAGTTGTTGCCTAGGCCTTTACCTATTCATGGGGTAAGACACAGACACGGTACAGACCACATTAGACACATGAGTGTCTAATGTTTAATTATCCACTCACAGTACTGGCCTGTTCACTGGCACATTTATGCTAGCTATTTTCAGACATTTAACTAATCATTTTTGCTACTTTTTATTAGCACACATGTATATAATACAGGGGGATTTCATTACTATATTCCATAGATGGACAACACAGTGGACTTTGAGCAAGTTCACCCCTTGTTTTATTTACATATTTATTCATTCATTCATTCATTCATTTTGTTGGTCGTGGGGCCTGAACTCTGCCTGGGCGCTGTCCCTCAGCTCTTTAGCTCAAGGCTAGCGCACTACTGCTTAAGCCACAGTGTCACTTTCAGTCTTTTGTGCTTATGCGGTGCTGAGGAATTGAACCCAAGGCCTCAACATGCAAGGCAAGGACTCTACCACTGAGCTACTTCCAAACTCCCCCCCACTGTTTGTTTTTTAATCACATTCCCTTAACCTCCTGTTTGCAGTGTTGAGTGGGTTTCATTATTCTAGCTTCTTATATACCGTATATATGTAAATGTATACATATATATACTAAATGCATATATACATAAATGTGTGTATATGTTTGTCTCTATCTATATGTCTATTTGTTCTTCATCTTATACATTACTCCACAGTCCCCATTTATATCCCTGCGCCACCATCAATTACCTTTGACATAATGGGTTAACTTTCATAGTTATTCCTTCTAAACTGGGGGTTTTGTTCAGTGGTACAATATACACTTGTATGTATGTGGTACTGTGTTCAAAACCCAGCACCAAAAAAAGTTACCTCTTCTATCCAACTTCACTCTTGTACCCATAAACCATGTTCTCTTCACTTCCTCCCCCACCCCATTTTCATGCTCTGTTAATCATCATTCTATTCCCTAGTACTTCGAGACTAACCATTTAGCTTTTACAGGTTAAGTGAAAACGTGTGTTGTGTCCTTTTGTTTTTAAGGGGGATTATTTATGTCGTTTAACATACTGTCCTTCAAAACTAATCACTGTAAGTGGGAAGATTCAGGACTGAGGGTTGGAGGGAGCGTTCTTGACATTCTGAGTTGGTTTCCTCTAGAACAAGAATGGAAGTGGTGACAGAGGCCTATAGTGGTACACTCCATGCACAAGTCCTTGGTCTTAGCAAAGATTGGTCAGCTGGTTATGGTTCTCACTGAAAGCAAAGTGGCAGATGAGTTCTCACAATTAAATGTCAGAGGAACTTTAGGAACAACACCTCTCCCAGGAGACAACAATTTTGCAAAGACACCACTTTTGTGCTTCTAGCTGCCACACACCCCTCCAGAATGTCAGTATGTGGTAAGGTCCACCAGAGACTCTCCCATTGCCAAATCTGGCTTCTTGTTCCCTCAAAATAAGGTATAAATAAGCAGGCTGGGGTGTGATCTTAAATTACATGGAAGCCACAGATCAGAAGAGGAGACTGTCACTGAGGTAGGACACAAGTTTGAACGCCATTGTTCTCCCCAATTTAGTTTTTTAGGTGAGGCTTCCCAGGCATACTGTGAGTTTTAATTAAAGTCTGATTCAGAGATACAGAATCAACTTAAAAAAGACAGATGTAAATCCCCCAACAACAAATCTACCAAAAAACAACTGTCAGATAAATCAGGGACTAAAGACTTAAAGAAAGGGGGCTGGGAAGGTGGCTCAGTGGTAGAGCGCTTGCCTTGCATGCATGAGGCCTTGGGTTCGGTTCCTCAGCATCACATAAGCAAATAGAAAAAAGCTGGAAGTGGAACTGTGGCTCAAGTGGTAGAGCGCTAGCCTTGAGCTGAAGAGCTGAGGGACAGTGCCCAAGCCCAGAGGTCAGGCCCCACAACTGGACCAAAAAAAAAAAAAAGACTGAAAGAAAGGGCTGGGAAGGAGGCTCAGTAGTAGAGCGCTTGCCTTGCATGCATGAGGCCCCTGGTTTGATTCCTCAGCACCACATATACAGAAAAAGCCAGAAGTGGTGCTGTGGCTCAAGTGGTGGAACGCTAGCTTGAGCTGAAGACCTGAAGGACAGCAGCTAGGCCCAGAGTTCAGGTCCACGACCAGCAAAAAAAAAAAAAAAAAAGACTTAAAGAAAAACGTCTCTGAAGAGGAAATAAGAATGGCCAGGAAGTGGCGCTGTAGCTCAAGTGGTAGAGCACTCATCTTGAGCTGAAGAGCTGAGGGACAACGCCCAGGCCCAGAGTTCAAGCCCCTTGACCGACAAAAAAAAAAAAAAAAAAAGGTTTTAGCCGGGCGCTGGTGGCTCACGCCTGTAATCCTAGCTACTCAGGAGGCTCAGATCTGAGGATCACGGTTCAAAGCCAGCCCGGGCAGGAGAGACCGTGAGACTCCTATCTCCAATAAACCACCAGAAAACCGGAAGTGGCGCTGTAGCTCAAGTGGTAGAGTGCTCGCCTTGAGCTGAAGAGCTGAGGGACAGCGCCCAGGCCCAGAGTTCAAGCCCCACGACCAACAACAAAAAAAAAAAGAATGGCCAACACACACATGAAGAAATGCTCAACTTCTCTAGCCATAAAAGAAATGCAAATCAAAACAACATTGAGACTCCACCTCACCCCAGTTAGAATGGCTATAATCAAGAACTCTAATAACAACAGATGCTGGAGGGGATGTGGCTAGAAGGGAACCCTACATGCATTGTTGGTAGGAGAGTAAACATTTTCAACCACTGGGGAAAGCAGTATGGAGGTTCCTCAAAAGACTACATAGAGCTCCCCTATGACCCAGCAATCCCACTTTGGGGCATTTACCCAAACAAGGCCATACTAAGGCTACGAGCACAACTATGTTTATTGCAGCATTATTTACCATAGCTAAGATATGGAACCAACCCAGATGCCCCTCACTGGATGAACAGATCAAGTAAATGTGATATACATCTATATGTACATATAGATGTGTAGCTATATGTACATATAGATGTATATATGTGTATGTCTGTGTGTGTGTGTT